GTGGCGTCACAGTAGTCATGTGACTGGCTGACGCAACAATATATATATATATATATATATATATACTGCTTATGATAGTGAGGTTATGGGTGTGGATTTGGCGTATTTGAATTTTTAGAAAATATTTGGCAAGGTGCTACTTAAAGTTAAGGCTTGTTGAAAAGTTATCTCTGCAGGTATGGGAGATAGGTTTGTTCATTGGATAGAAAACTAGCTGGATGGAAGAAAGCAAAGAGTTGTCATAAATGGAGTTCTGTCATTCTAGATTCATGTTACAAGTGGGGTACCTCAAGACTCAGTGTTAGGACCTTGTTTTTTTAACTTACATCAATAACATAGATGAAGGAATGTTCAGTAAATTATTTAAATTTACTAATGATATTAAAGTTTAGAGTGTTACTGCTGAAAGTATTTTTGTGTTATATTTAATTTTAAAATAAAGTTAAGGGTTTTAAGTGACGCAAATCATTGCTTAGTGGTTTTTATCTTGTATTGTAGCTAGTATAGTTGGCAGGCTTAATAACCCGGCAACCCCTGAAGTGCCAACAGCTTCAGGTGGATGAGCACACAGTGGAATAGTACAAGATCTTACTGCTAGTGGAGGAAATGCTGCCTAGAGACATGTATTAATGTACTGTGGCATGACAGGGCAGACCGAGCCCTTTAGCCTTGGAAGGCAGTTGGTCTAGGAGTGGATCCTTAATGAGCAGACAAGTGGATGTCATCCAGTTGCTGTAACAGCTCATGCAGCTTACCTGATTCCAAATGTACCAGACTTTTCCTTTCCTTTGGAGTAAACCAACCAAGTTGAGAGGGAGATCTTGATGCATGGGCAACCCAGGATTTCCACAACAAATGCCCAGGCTTTTTGCACCCTGAAGAGAACACTCCAGTTTTGTCACTAAAGTAGAAACAACACAGGAGACAGTTACAAGTCAATTTTGTTTAGCATAGAGAAGGGAGCTACACGTTGTCTCTGATGGTGGGAGAGATTATTGCATCTCATTGATCAGCTACCACTCACCTTAAGCTGGTCAGCCCCTAGCCAGTAAGGTGCTGATCTGCCATGGTCTGTCTGCCTCAACAGGTGTTTATGGCTTAGGGTAAAACCTGAAAAGCAGACCGTATCTATTGCACCAGGCAAAAATAAAAATATATACTTGAAACTCGCAACATGGAACATTAGGACCAAGTTCCCTAGCTTGACAAATAACCTTGATAAGATCTCAGATGCCAAGAAGACTGCTGTAATTGACATTGAAGCCTTGACATTGAAGCATTGACATTGAAGCCTTGACATTGAAGCCTTGTAAAAAAAACTTGACTTGCAGCAAATGGCTTCTTATGACTACATCTTCTTCTGACAAGGAAAGGTAGCAAGAAAAAAGTAGGAACATGGTTTGGGCTTTGCAGTAAGGAACTCACTTTTGAAGACAACCAAACTGAACATTTCTGTATATCAAGCTTATGTGGTCAGCACTCTACTGGAAATAAAACATGGATAATCTACTCCTCTCAAGAAAGATGCTTTAACAGTTTTTATATGAGATGTTTCCATTATATTTTGAATATTATGTGGTGGGACAGAGTGACAAACACAGAGGTACTTCATCATGTAAGTATCTCCAACATGTATCTGCTTCTCAGCCAGTGCAAACTCAGATAGCTCGGCTATGTACAAAGGATAAATGATGGATGTATTCACAAAGATCATTTATATAGTAAGCTGGCTACAGGAAAACGACCAATGGGCTTCCCAACCTTTGTTTCAAAGAAGCCTGTAAGAGAGAGAGACATGAAGTCTATAGACATCAATCTCGACACAAGCAACTAGGAGCGACTAGAAGCAAGCAGTTAAGTTGGGCCTCAGAAAGAAAGAAGAGAGAATGAACAAGAAGTAGAAAAGAAGAGAATGCATCAGAAAAATTCAAAAGCTGCATGAACAACTTCAGAACACAAGTTATACATGTGACAGTTGTCAACAAACATGCTCATCTGGAATTGGATTATTCAGTCACATCAAGTAGTGTCAACATGAGTGACACTCTTATAACAAATATATATTGTCTTATAAAATAGAAAGAGTGCTATTAACTAGTATAATTATCTTTTAAATGGTTTGTGTTATCTTTTTGATGTGTATGTATGAATGAAATAATGGTGTCAAATTTGTGTCATGCAGAATCCTTCATAGTGTTCATCACAAAAAACAAACCACAATACTATAAAAGTAATTCCAAACAAGAGTATATATGTTTAATGCAGCTATATGGTCACACACACATACATGCAAGGCATGAAAAATTTCTTGAGCCAATTACTCAGGCACACATGTATACATAACGAGAAGCATGCTTTTTCAATTAATAAAAGTTTACATGGCTGAAGCACCAATTGGTGCGTAGTCTCACTCACTACTTTAAATTAACGTCGTGACTTATTATGTTGTATGATTATGAAACTTACTATACTGATAAAAAAATATGATCTAGTTGGATTGAAATTAATATGTGACTAATATGTATTTACATTAGAATATGTGGGACTATGAAGAACCACAATATATCATGGAACCCTGGTTGAGAAGCATTGCTCTAAATTATGAAACAAGCAAATACAACCATCTTTTATTCACACAATGCAAGGTATTGATGGAGTTTGAAGTCTACCACTTACTAGGCAGAGAGAGAAAGGAATTATTATATCTGCAAGAAATGAGGATGAGTAAGATAATGACACCACACTGTCAGGTCATTCCAAGGCTCAGTATTCAACTTAAAACTTGCAACATTTTATAGCATTTATTATGCTAAGCACTGTGAATTTTAGTTATAGTATTCACCAATACATAATTATTGGTATATTTACAGTCTTTTGTATGACACAAGTTTTATTTTATTATGTCTCTGCAGAGAGACATACTGGTTTTATATTGTTTCTTCTTTTTTCAAACACTTTTAAATTGACTGCCTTTCGTTCATTTCTCAGCAGATTGACTTTAAACTTGGTAGGGTTATACTTTGGTCCAATATGCCTAGATACCTTTATATATATATGCAGGCCTTTTTAAGGATTTTATAGTCTCAAAGGTGAAAATCTCAAAAATGTCTATTTTGTGGTCATATTTACAAAATGTAGCCAACACACTGACATACAAAAAAAATGGATATGCCCATTTTGAGTCTTTTTTTAGGGGGAGGGTCAGAGCTCACAAAAAGGCATAATTTGGGGAGTTTTCGTTACATACTCAGCCATATTTTGATCAATTTACATGAAATTTGGTACAATTATACTTTTCTACAGGTTCTCTTACATTGGCAAACAAAAATTGTGAACTTGCCAGTTTTTATTAATTACAAAAATGTCAAGATGCCACAAAAAGCATGACTGTAAGAATTTTTGACAATTACTCTGCTGTATTTTGGCCAATTTACATGAGCTTTGGTACAAAGATACTTTTTTACAGTTTACAAACATAT